CCTGCATTAAGCTAGGGTGGCACTGCATATGGTGGGCCTTCAGCTTCCCCCCCTCCTCCCCAGTGCAGCGAGAGCGAACGGTGAAAATGAAGATTGATGGGGTTAGTAATTACTGAGTGGCACAGGGAGTTCGGCTCTCACGCCCTCCCTTCCCTGGAGCTTGTTTGTTAAAAGGTGTCCTGGGATAATTTAATTGCGTAAGGCAGTGACTGCAGCATCTGTAACCGAGTCCAAGGGGTTTGCTCACAGGAGGGGAGAGGGATTAACCATGTGGGGTTTCCTTCTCCAGGCAAATCCAGCAGCCTCGGCGGGAGCCACCGTCTGTCCCAGAGCGCAGCGGGTGAAGGAGGGAAGATCCCAAAAGAAACAAGCGGGGAGCCTGGCGCCGGTTGTGAGAGCAGCCCTGGTGGAGGGGACCTCTGGGTCTCTGCTCTGCTTTGCATGATACTGAGCACAGCGAGCAGGTAGGGGCACCTGGACGGGTCCTTCCATCTCCAGATGATGGTTGTCAATATCGCTGCTGAATTCCGCTGGGCGCTCTGGTCTGGGACCTGCAGGATCTCCCACCTCTTTCCGAGTCGCTGTTAACTCCGCTGTGCTCCCCTGACGATCCCAACTGACAGGTAGAAAGAGTGAAGCAGCTTTTCCTGAGTCCATGAGAGCTTCCCGTGGCAAGCCAAAGCAAGGAGCTCAACCTCAGGTAGGAGCCTCCTGCCCAGGCCGTGTTTGTCTTGTGTCTAGGTCCTCCTGTGCACGGAGGGGTAACAGCAGCTCCCTTGTTTGTCCCCCAGCTGGCAAGAAGCTGGCATGGGCTTGGGGCCAGATTTTTGTGCCCGCGTGCTGACTGCCATCGCTATGCACAAACCCACTGCCGAGCCAAACTCCCTGGGGAACTGAACTTCAAACAAAAGTGGAAAGAAAAAAAAGATGTATCTATATTTAAAAAGACAGCTATATTTAATGCTATTTTACAGCAACAGTTTTTTAACAGTATAAGCAAATTTGTTTGCTAAAGGAAAAACGTAATTGAAATAAATCCCTGAAGGGGTTAATCCAGGCTGGCTCTCCTGGGTGCTCTCCTTTTACAGGAGCAGGCAGCACCCAGAATCCCCTTCAGGGTCAGTAGCCTGGTGGTGCCAGGGCTTCTGGAACCCAGGCATTTACTTGCTGACAGTTTAAGAAGCAGCTTTTAAGTTCATGCATTAAGGGTTAAACGAGTCCGGACATCCCAACCATCTCCTACAACACACAAGCTGCTGGGAACCACGGGGTGAGTTGCTGTGGGGACCATCACCCATCTGTGTCCCATAAACATTTCTCCTGGAAGCTCATCTGTTCGCTGTAATATATTAAAAGGGCTAAAAAAGGAAAGGGCAGCTGAGACCCTGAGTTTCCCCTAACCCTTTGCTGAGTGCATGCTTTCCGGGAGCGTCCTGCATGGCGAAATCAGAGCACGGGGAGATTCACCCCCTTGTTTCCCACTTGGGAAGTAAAAATGCCAGTGAGGGGAGAGGCTGCGGCTCAGCAGGGCTTGGCTGACGTGGGATTTGGGCCTCGGGATCTGACGGTGTGTCCCTGCTGGGGACAGAGTGCGAGGAGGGTCAGCCCTGCAGGGAAGCGGGGTGTTAGCAAATTGCAGAGGAAGGGGGAGGTGGGTGACGAAGGAGGAGGAAGACAGGGCTATGAATCTGTGCCGTCCCATAAAGGATAGCGCAGCATCCTGGCTCCCACCCCGTGGGCAGGGAAAAGGCAGCTCTCTCCGGGCTGGTGATTTCCCACATCTCCTCCTCTGCTTCTCCCTCCGGGACGCAGCCTGGGGAGTGCAGAGGAAGAGGGGCTCTGCTCTGAGAGGTACACTGCCATGGCGGGGGGGCTTCCCCATGCTGCTGGGCTTGCAGGGAGAGCGGTGGCCGTGCCCAGGCACCGTGGGCCCCTCGGCCAAGAGCCTCACCGCCTGTTCCTGGTGGGGCTGTTGGCTGCTCACTCCCAGCCAGCCTCTGCCTTGGGCCTGCCGTGCTGAGAGCTGATGAAGTTCCATCATCTGGTTAGTAAAGTGCAGAAATCCTCCATGGCTCGCCGGAGCCGCTCTGAACCCGGATCTCCTCACCGGGGCAGGCACCCAAGGTGGACCATGAACTGTGCTCCTCCCTGGCTCAAAGCCATTCCCTTACTTAAAGAAACGCCAATAGTTTTGCCTTTCTGCCTGCCTTCCTGCTCTCTGGCCGTAATTTTAAGCTTTTCCAAGCAATCAGTGTGGCTAGAAACATGCTCTTACTTTGTTAGAGATTCGAGCTCCTTTTCACCTGACTCATAATATCATAATGGAAAAATATCATAATGGAAACGACAGGATCTGAACAGGCAAGATTTCATGTAGGGCAAAGAGCAGGTTAAAATTTTGGCAAGCACGTATTGGAGACGGTGTTAAAAGCAGCTAAAAGTAGAAAAGCAGGGTCCGAGCTGTCAAGGTGATTGTCAAGAGAAAATGACAGCAGATCGCGGGTTCCCAGGAAGGAAGCAGGACTGTGTCTGTCGAGCGAGTGGGTGGGTGGGAAGGGGGTTGTCGCTGATACGATGGCAGATAAGATAGTGTAGCTGCTATGCTACTGCCACCTCACACTCCAAACAATGAGTCACTCTTCAAAGCAATGCATTTGAGAAAAATGTGCCATTCTGTTCCTCTCTGCGTTATGCTTTTTGCATCCCTGCTCGCTTTGTGGTTTTCAACTCTTTTTTTCCTCCTTCAAGGATATCTAGAAGTGCAGGTTTTCATTTAAATGCTGTGACTCCGGAACCAGGGGCTTCCAAAGCAAGAGGGCACGCTGTGGGAGTCAGAGGGAGATCGCAGGACAGTGCCAGCCCAAGAAGGGGAACGTTAGCATTTAAAAGGCCCTTGCTTGCTTATGAGAGGCTTGAAAAAACCGTGTCACGTTGGTAGATTTATTTGTGCAGAAATCTAGAAGGTGGATAAAGCACATTTTTGGAAGATGAGGAATGAACAAAATTAGGTAATGGTCTGTTCCTATGAACCTCAGCCTTCTTCCCAGGCGTTTATTCTTTTGCCTCATAGCTCACATGAAAGGTAAATGGAAATCCACTTTTCCATTTCAGAGCCAGGCGTGTATAAATGCAATTTCTGAGAACTGGAGTCACAGTAAGAAGAGATTTTTTTTTTTTTCAAATTGTCACATCTCATGGCAGGCAAGGACCACTGTAATTAAGCTACCAGTTTCTACTACTGGCCTTCTGTTTCACTGTCATTAAAAAATGGATACTTGGGGCTGTTTTCTGAGAGCTTCTGCTTGCAAAGAGTTTCCCCCCCCCCCCCCAGTTTGAGAAATCTGTCTCTGCTTTTTGAATACCAGTGCAGCAGTACCAGAAAATTCCCTTGCATTTTTTATTACTCAGAGTAGCAAAACCTCACTGCAGGAAAAAAGGTGCTTTTTTTTTTTTTTCCCCAAAGCTTTGATCTGACAACTTTAACTCTTGAAAAGTATCACCCAGCTTCTTAGGATTGATTGAAAAAAACTGTGCAAAACAATTGGCCAACAGAGTTTGGGGTTCAATTTCAGAATTCAGTGAAATGTCACATTTGAAAAAAAATTTATCTCCTTCATGATCCAGTTGCATTGGTTTGATTTGTGAAATAAATCCTAATGTGTGTGTCTGTCTTTTTTTTTGTGTTTGTTTTGTTTTGTTTTTCTGAACAGGGACTTTTGAGAATTAATTGAAGTTCCTCCCACTTTTTAAACCTGACTGAATCGCCAAAATGCCTGATCCAGTTCTGGGACTGTGGAACTACATCCCAGAAGAAATCCTCATCCAGATTTTCTATTATCTGCCTCTTCGAGATAGATACATGGTCTTCCAGGTGTGCAGACGATGGGCTGCAGCTGTTTCTTCTAGCTCTGTTTGGCATTTCACAGAGATCAGGTAAGAGGGGTGGGTTTCTAATGTCCAAGCATCTTCGCAGGCGTGACCAAATTGTTGTTTCCGGTGCGTGTCAAACATGTACACCACTCTACTATGACATTATTGACACTAATTGTGAGGATATTATCTTACATGACTCTCTTATATGTTTATATAATAGAGAAAATTGTGTTGTATGCTGGGTTTTTTTCAGTTGCTGCTGATGATTTGGGTTTAGTGGGAAATCTTACATTCTTAGGTACGTTGTTCTAAGTTGCCAAAGTTACTGAATAGTTACCCTTGTCGTGACACTTCCCTGATGGATCTTTCTGGGGAGTGATTCTTCTCACCTCCTGAATCTGTGTCTGGCCTTACAGTTGCTCTCCAGGCATCAAGTGAGAAGAAACATCTAGGGTACCTCTTGATGTTTGCAGAAATGCTAGTAGAGTATCTGCTCTGTGCTTGCTCAGCTCAGCGTTCACCGTGACTAATAGCCTATTTTACCCTTCCAGCTGTGATTCAGAGGATGAGGAGGGCATGCTGCAGAGCCTGCTCCAGTTCCTCAGCCAAATCAAACACCTGAAGATTGTGCTTGACCAGTCCAAGGAGGTCAACCGGAAGAACGCGACACGCGTCTTGGATGCGCTGGCAAAAGAGAACCACAAACTGCAGCAGCTGTGCATAGTGTGCCACGGGGAGAACCCCTATTTCTACTCTGGCCAGGACATCCTACAGGGCATCCGGAATATCTGTGCCACTAAAAACCAGATGTATCTTCAGCATATTGATTTTCGACGAATGCCCTTCACTCTCGATGACAAGCTGGTTGAACTCTTGGCTACCGCCAACCCAAACTTGCACAGTTTGTTCATCAACAACCGCACCTTGGTGTGCAACGTGGCACCGGCCACCATTAGGAAAGTTTTCAGAGCGTGTCCCAAACTCTCGGCCCTGGGGGTTTACTACGCCAGTTTGTCTGACGACGTGTTTCAGGAACTGCTCGAGCCCGAAAGAGCAGCTTTCACCCACTTAGACATTTTCTGTGAGCGCCTGGACAAGTACATACCCGTTATCTCAGAAGAGCTCTGGGCTGCTGTGAGTCAAAAGCATCCTCGACTCCGTGTAGACCTAGAGTTTGATCATACGGTCCCTGCCTGCAAAATCCCGCTGATCCTAAAGCTGAATATACCTGTGAGCACCCTGCAACTCAATACCTATAATTACATGGTAAATCAGATTAGGTTCATCACCCAGAGCTACAGCGGTACTTTAAAGAAGCTGATGCTGCAAACCACATCCTCAGAGGACTTAAATTCCTCGCTCGTCGATCTGGCCAAGCAGTGCAGAAATCTGTTGGAGATCCACTGCTACTGTGTGGTCAGCCAGGAGGTGGTAGAAGCGTTCCTCACCCACTGCCCCAGCCTGAAACTATACACTCTGAAGGTCACCAAGGAACGGCACCCCTGGAAACCAGTAACACTTCGGTGACCAGCTCCTGCTGACTTCCTGGGAGAATCGTGGGGATCTGCAAGAGGACAGAGAAAGAAGATTTGGGGCTATAAAAGGGCAGTCCTGCCAAGTGTCCTCTGCGCTTATTGAGAACGAGCTGTTCCACCAGCACTGGCTGTTAGATACGATGCATGCCTCTTCTCTCAAATGTGATAGAGAAAGGATTACACAGAGAAACAGAATATTTTTCTTTATGGGGGGAACGTAGTGCAGGTCTTTTTCTCTCCTCTGCTGAGTTTACCCTCCTCCGGTATCTCCTCCTCCTCCTGGCAGGAGCCTGCGGGGCCACCCCAGGGCTGGCTCTGGGACAGTCTGGGGGCTCTCCCCGAGGGAAGTGGCCTCGCAGGAGGCTGCTGAGGGCCGGGGTGAGGGTCCTGGGGGCTTTCCTTGTTAGCAAAGGCAGGCCACATGCTAACTTAAGTGAGTTAATTACTGAGCTTCTTATTGTGGGCACCGAGCTGAGGGTGATAAGGATGGGACAACAAGAAGTAGTTAATCACTTCAAGGTTCTCTCAGATGCCAAAGTATATATATAGATAGATATAACAAAAGTCCTATATCAATTAGGGCAGAGCCGTGGCTACTTCAAGGAACATCTTCGTCATCCTCAAGAAGCTGGGAAACTTACAGTGAACTTTTACTGTCCTGAGATGACTCAATGCCTTAAAAAGGATAACGCGAGGAAGGGTATCCCTTACCCAAAAGACCCCGGAGGAGCTCACGCCTGCGCAGGAGCGCTTTGCAGATGCTGCAGAATTTAATATTCATGTGCCAAAAAGGGGCTGTTGGATCATCCTGATCCATGCATCAGCCCAGGTGGAGTTACGGATTAGGTAGGCAGAATAATGAGAATTTTTTGTGTCTGAATAACGGGTGTGCTAGACTTGTGGATTTCCACCTGGCACCCCGCGTTGAATAAAGCAACATCTCCTCTCTAAACTGCTTCTGGTTTCCAGAGCTTCTGTTTCAGGCAGCGCCCCGAAGGGCTTGATTTCTGCCTGGCTTCCAGGGGGTGCGTTTCCCCGGCGGTCTGGTGGCATCTCCCTTGGGCAGCGCCGCCGGCCAGATGTCCCTCTTCCTTGGGTAGGACGGAAAGAAGCCCCCGGTCAGAGGGTAACTGCCAAGGGTGCCGTGTTCGGAGGGGAGCTGTTTCCCCAGCACCCATCCTCCTGTAGCTCAGCTCCTGCCCCGTCCCTCACTCCGAGGGAATCCCTCTGCTCTCTTCCCTGCTGGTTGTGTCGGATGACGCTGAACTACAGTTGGGGATTGCTGTTTTCCAGGTGTCTCCTCCTCGGCGTCCCGTGCTGCCCCAACCGTGGGTCTGCAGCCGGTGGAGAAGCCAGCCCTGGGTCTGGTCGTTTGGTCCATTTTTTGGGGTGACCTAAAAAAACCCCACGTGTCTCCTGGCGTCATTTGGGGCACCCCGATGTCACCGGGGGAGCGATGATGCAGCGGAGGAGCAGGTGAGTGGGGATTCCGTGGGGTTCCCCCCAAAAGAGGGAGGTCACAGCCCCCAGATGTCTGAAAATTCGGGGGTTGTGGTTAAAAAAATGTTAAAACCTGTAAATACGGGGGTGAGGCATTGGAATAGAGAAGAATTTTACTCTCACTTTTATGTAGATGGAGAAATAATAGTCACTTATGTATATAAAAGGAGTTCAGAATAAACCCTCTGTCTCAAGGATTCTACAATTCTGTGCGGCATCCTGGCCTGTATCAGGAACAGCGTGGCCAGCAGGAGCAGGGCAGTGATGGTGCCTCTGGACTGGGCACTGGTGAGGCCTCACCTCGAGTGCTGTGTCCAGTTCTGGGCCCCTCACCACAAGAAGGACATTGAGGTGCTGGAGCGTGTCCAGAGGAGAGCCACCAAGCTGGGGAGGGGTCTGGAGAACAAGTCATACGAGGAGAGGCTGAGGGAACTGGCATGTTTAGTTTGGAGAAGAGGAGGCTGAGGGGAGACCTCATTGCCCTCTACAGCTCAGATTGGAGTGGAACTTCCCATGGTCCAGCTTGTGCCCGTTGCCCCTCGTCCTGTCACTGGGAACCACCGAGAAGAGTCCGGCTCCATCCTCCTTCAACCCACCCTTTAGATCCTTGTCAGCATTCAGAAGGTCTCCCCTCAGCCTTCTCTTCTCCAGGCTCAAGAGCCCCAGCTCTCTCAGCCTTTCCTCATCAGGGAGATGCTCCAACCCCTCCATCATCTCTGTTGCCCTACGCTGGACTCTCTCCAGCAGTTCCCTGTCTCTCTTGAACTGGGGAGCCCAGAACTGGATGCAGGATTCCAGTTGTGGCCTCCCCAGTGCAGAGCAGAGGGGGAGAATGACCTCCCTCCACCTCCTGGCCACACTCTTCCCTACACAGCCCAGGATCCCATTGGCCTCTTGGCCACAAGGGCACATTGCTGGAGAGTTGCATGGAGAGTTTACTCTCCACCAGGACCCCCAGATTTTTCTTCTCAGACATGCTTTCTGGAAACTCCACCCCTCACCTATACTGGTGCCTGGGGTTCTTCCTCCCCAGGTGCAGGACCCTACACTTGCCCTTGTTGAACCTCATGAGGTTCTTCTCTGCCTAGCTCTCCAGCCTGTCCAGGTTACGATGGATGGCAGCACACTCCTCTGGAGTGTCAGCCAGTTCTCCCAGTTTGGGATCAATCATCATTCTTGAAGCCAGACACCCCATGCGTACATCACCTTCTTTTTGTGAGTCGCTTCTTTTCCCGGGCCGTTACATTGTGCTCACATTCTGGGGCTTCCCTAGAGCCTCCTCATGTCACCATTGTGGTCCTGCAGGTCTTCTTGCCTGGTGGTGTCTTCGAACCAGGTGTTGTTCTTCTTGCTGAGAGCTTTCTCTCACTGTTGAGGCGCATTGTTTGTCGTGTTGTGTGTAGTGTCGGTCTGTGCCTGTGTGTGTTTGGCTTGGGGCTGCCCTGCTCGGGGGCGGGTGGTAGGTAGAGTCAGCGGTAGGTGGAATTAGTGGTAAGAGTCTGTGGTTAATAAGTGAATCTGCCGAGACTGTTGAGGTGAAGGTGGTACAGTCATCTTGGATCGAGTGGGGACAGGTTTTTCATTAATATTTCATGGGGAAGAGTGGAGCTCTGTGGGAAGGCCTGTTCAGCAGTAGGGAAGCAAATTGCATCTCCAAGATTTTCAGACTGCTTTGTGAGGGGCTTAAAGTTGGGGGGTTTTTAATGGCAGGCTGTAGTTGGACTCTAGATGGTCTTCCTATGTAGAAACAAGCACCTTTTGCATTATGAAGCTGTCCCTCCGTATCCATGTGACTTGTTTGATGTTTTTTTTCAGATGCAGAAGGACAAGCTGCGCAGGGCAACACAGCAGAGCCGAGCGGAGCACTGCAAGTAGGTGAGTGGGTGCGTGGTGTTAGAAGGAAGATGTGTCTGGTGGCTCTGTGACTACTTTATGGGTTTTTATTTTTCAATGTATAGCTTTGAATTGACGTGCAGCGCGGGATATGGGCAGCAGGGCTGACTTGAGCAAGGCGAGCTGTGGTTGGTGGGCTGAAGTATCATTTCTTTTTCTGGTGGAGTTACAAGCAACCCGTGTTTGGATTTTACAGGTGGTGTGCAAGCCTGAAGCTGGCCACCCAAACTCACAGCGGATGTTAAGCTGTCAAGGTAAAGGGGCAGGAGATGGGAATTAGTGCCCACAGGCTACGGTTTTGGCTGGTATCTCAGCATGTGCTGTTTTTCTTGGGTTTTTGCAGCTGCTGCGCACAGGCTCAGAGGGGTGACGCTGCACGCTGAGGAGCGGTTCGAGCTGGTGAGGCTGTTGTGGGCTAGGTTGGTATCTAATAGCAAAGTATGACGTGGCAGCTCAGTGATGTGTTTCTCTCTGGTTTTGCAGGCGCGGTGCAGGTTGCCTTTGGAACCGGATGAGCGTTTGAGCTGAGCCGGGTAGTAGGGAGGAGGCACATGGGGCTGGTGGTTTCTTCCATGTTCAATGGCATTTTCACATCTCTCGGTTTCTCAGGCACCACAAACAGTTACTGCTGCAGAGTTTGACTCTGGAATCCGTGCAGGGCAGGTGAGCAGAATGGCACGGCATATCTGAGGAGGGGGATGTTGCCGGAAAGGTCCATGTTGACCTTCGTGATGCTCACTATTGCATGTGGAATGGGTTGTTCCTTCTTTCCTTTTTTTTTTTCAGATGATGAAGAGGAGCCTAGCGACTGCAGGAGCGATCCAGTTGGCTGACTATGGTTTTCCTTGTGGAGGATGGCTACAGACCCCATGCTCTCTGAAAGCTAAGTTGAGGGTCTGGTGCTGGGGACTGTTGGGAAAGGGACAAGGTTTGGAGTTGCAGGGAGGGGTTCAAAGTCAGGGTAGGGCAGGGGCTGTCCAGGAGCAGCCCTCTCTGGGTAGGTAAAGGGAGTGGGTTACTCTTCAGGACGAAGCCAGTGTGCACCAGGCAGGGCAATTCTGGACAGTGTCTGTTGTGTAGTTTGTGTGATCTGTCTTCTGTGTCGTAGACTTTCCTCAGGTCTTGGTGTCTTTGTTGCTCTTTGCACTGAAGAGGCACAGCAGGTGCCTCAGATACCACCTCTAGGGTCTGGAATGCCTCTACTCATTAGCATCATGCCCAATGGGTGCTTCCTTCCTTGCATAACAATCTTAAAGTGCGTACTGGACTTGCATCTGGGACGTTTCTGGACGTTCCTCTTTTTGCCTCGTCATTCCTGGCTGCATGAGCAGCTCTGTTCTCTAGCCATCTGTTTTCGCAGACTGGGATTTCTTCCCAGCATCCTGACACTCCCAGGTCTTGGACACGGACTTCTAGTGTGTACAACCTCTATGTTTTGACAGGAACTTCTTGTAACTGGCCATTACATGTGACTCTCTTATGGCATCTCTGTAGAGCCTCCTCACATCAGTGCTGTGGCCCTGTAGGTCTTCTTGCCCGAGAGTATCTCTGGTCTGGAAGCGATTCTCCTTGCGGAGAGTGTTGTCTGATCTTTGGGTAGCATTGTCTATAGTGTTGTGTGGTGTTGGTCTGCATAGGGGTGTGTTTGGTGTGGAGCTGCCCTGCCTGGGGGTGTAGAGGCAGGGGTAGGTGGGACAGCAGGCAGGTTTGGAATGTCTCCAGAGAAGGAGACTCCACCACCTCCCTGGGCAGCCTCTGCCAGGGCTCCGCCCTCACAGCAAAGTTCTTCCTCATGTTTAGGTGGAACTTCTTATATGCAAGTTTGTGCCCATTTCCTCTTGTCCTGTCCCTGGGCACCACTGAAAAAAGACTGGCCCCATCCTCCTGACACCCTCCCTTTAAGTACTTATAAGCATTGATCAGATCCCCCCTCAGCCTTCTCTTCTCCAGACTAAAAAGACCCAAGTCCCTGGTTTGTGAGGTACCATGAGGTAACGCAGTAATGCAGCTGGGGGTTTTAATTTTTTTTTTTGGCAGGCACTTTGCAGCAAGCCTCTAGAAACAGCAGGGTTAGAGAGGAGCAGCGTGACAGGTCTCAGAGCGGTCGGGTTTTGTGGTGCAGATGTGGTGCTGGAGCGGGTCCAGAGAAGGGCAACAGAGCTGGTGAGGGGTCTGGAGAGTAAGTCTCATGAGGAGCGGTTGAGGGAGCTGGGGGTGTTCAGCCTGGAGAAGAGGAGGCTGAGAGGAGACCTTATTGCTCTCTCCAACTCCCTGAAAGGAGGGTGTAGAGAGATGGAGGTCGCTGTCTTCTCCCAGGCGATAGGACAAGAAGAAATGGCCTCAAGTTGCACCAGGGAAGGTTCAGATTGGATATAAGGACAAATTTTTACACTGAAGGGGTTACTATTATTATTATTGGAATGGGCTGCCCAGGGAAGGGGTTGAGGCCCCATCCCTGGAGGTATTTAAAAGACGGGTTGACATAGTGCTTAGAGACATGGTTTAGTGATGGTTTTTATCAAAGTTAGGTTGATGGTTGGACTGGATGATCTTAAAGGTCCCTTCCAACCCAGACAATTCTATGATTCTATAGTCAAAACCTGCCTGCTTAGTTTTTAATATAAATGTGCTGAAGATGGAAAGCCCATGAGTACAGGACACTTCTTGCTCTACTAAAACTCCTTTGCTGAGAGCTGGGTGCTTTTGTTGTGGCTAAATATTTATCTTGTTACTAAATTCAAATGTATCCTACCCTAAACTGAGAACATTTTTTTTATCATGTTAATTTTATTCTTTTAGGATTATAAATGTAAATGGACACAAAAGATGTACAAAGGAGAAACATGTTTAGAAAAAGACTGTTTTAAAAGTTTTGTTCAAGTCTTCACTTTTCTAAGTAGTCTGAGTTTGAGCATTATCTAGACTGAGTCTGGCCAAACAATCATGCTTTTAAACTCAGACCTGATCAGAAGATAAGCCTCCTTCTCTAGATAGTAATTTCAAAACTTAACTAAATTTCTTAAGGCTTTCAGGCAACTTAATTCCCCTGAACTTTCATTGTAGGGAGCTTTAAAATCTCATTGGTAAGGGCTCTATTTCACTGTATCATTTGCATATTGCAATTTGAGGGTATGTGACTACTGATCTTATAAAACCACATTCTGCACGTGCACATAACATAAACACAAAGAGAATGGGAAATCTTTTGCTAACACAAATACATTAACTGAAATGTAATTTTAAGAATTCGTACAGCATAAGTGTTTTAATCCGAAACATGGATTACATCACTCCTTGTTTCCAATTCAGTAAACTGCCCTAAGTCACTTACTGAGTCAGAAATGTCTCCTACTATAATGAAATGCCAAATCAAATGATATCTGCTACCTCATTCAGTTCAATCAAACTCCTCCCATGATGGATACATTGTCTCTTTAAGAAGAATTTCATGAGCATACCTGGACACAATAAACATGCCCATGCCAGGATTTCCATCACATCACAAAATAATCCTCATTGCATCACAAATTATCCTCTGAAATACAGCAATGTGAATTAAATACAGCACTACATAAATGGATTGTGTACTAAACTAAGGAAGCTACAACATTTCCCGACATTCTTTGTCATTTTTTAGCACTGATGGGGATCTTCAGGATTTCCAGTAATAAGGACACATTTAAAAGAATCAAAGTGTTTACGAAATTAATTTTCTATTTACATAGACAAAGCAGCATTAGGTAAATAAGACATACTTGTACACAGTCAAAGTAATGGTGGACAACCAAATGCCTGCCTATAAATGTCATTATAGATAGTTGTTGCTATAAATTAAAGATGGCCATGATGAGATAAGTTCTTTATCCTTCGTAATTGTTTCTAAATATTCTATCTAAAACTGTGCTATTCTTTAAAGATGGGCGCCAATATGAAAAAGCTTTATCCGAAACATGGATTACATCACTCCTTGTTTCCAATTCAGTAAACTGCCCTAAGTCACTTACTGAGTCAGAAATGTCTCCTACTATAATGAAATGCCAAATCAAATGATATCTGCTACCTCATTCAGTTCAATCAAACTCCTCCCATGATGGATACATTGTCTCTTTAAGAAGAATTTCATGAGCATACCTGGACACAATAAACATGCCCATGCCAGGATTTCCATCACATCACAAAATAATCCTCATTGCATCACAAATTATCCTCTGAAATACAGCAATGTGAATTAAATACAGCACTACATAAATGGATTGTGTACTAAACTAAGGAAGCTACAACATTTCCCGACATTCTTTGTCATTTTTTAGCACTGATGGGGATCTTCAGGATTTCCAGTAATAAGGACACATTTAAAAGAATCAAAGTGTTTACGAAATTAATTTTCTATTTACATAGACAAAGCAGCATTAGGTAAATAAGACATACTTGTACACAGTCAAAGTAATGGTGGACAACCAAATGCCTGCCTATAAATGTCATTATAGATAGTTGTTGCTATAAATTAAAGATGGCCATGATGAGATAAGTTCTTTATCCTTCGTAATTGTTTCTAAATATTCTATCTAAAACTGTGCTATTCTTTAAAGATGGGCGCCAATATGAAAAAGCTTTAAAACCATACTTTTTACCCTGCAATGTAAAAGGGCATGCACCTAAACGAAATTGAGCAGTAAATTGGCATTCAGCTATATATCAACACGCTTCTTTTATACTTTAATATTTTCACTAACAGTATATTTACATAACTTGAAAGCAAGTTATTGAGGGGTATGATTTACTTCCTCCATCCTCTTTTCTGTATAATACTAATAAGCTTTCTCATGTGCTTGCTGATAAGAGACGTGGGATACTGCAATAAGAAAGGAATACCATATCAGTTCAGAATTAAAAAGCACCGAAAAGAAAAGCTTGAAACAAAATTAAATTGCTTATAGCAAGTGAAATATGAAATATAGGATAAATAATTTATTAGGGGAAAAAGGGTGATCCAAGCATAAAAGATTAAAGCATTCATTTAATATGAAAGGTAGTACAGGTATTTGTGACTTTTGCTTTAGAAGCCTTGGAAAATGTTATCAAAGACTAATGAGCAACACGATTTATTTTGATAATTAGTCAATTTGATAGTTGGACACATATGGAAACACTTTTTTGGTGGTTTTTTTTTTTTTGGTTTGGGTTTTTTTGTGTTGTTGTTGTTTTTTTTTATGAGTTAACACAAGGAAACGCAAATGTTGTCCACATGGGATATGATGTGAATGCCCATCAAATGTGGCATGGAAAAAAAGTAGATAAATACAAAGAAAAAACGCAGAGCACCATTGTGCTGATAACCTGAAAATAAAATTAGAAAAGGTTTTTAAAAGAGGATTTGATCATTAAAGTTAGTGTCATCCAAATAAGAAAAGTACATTCAATATCTGCATGTTGTTTGGATACCTAGATATATCTATGGCAAGAAAAAAATCATCAACTATTAACTTTCCTTTTAAAGACTTAAGAAAGACTTTATTATGTTTTACTTTATGTCTGGTCTCAAAATTCTGTGATTGTCTTCCCCTATCAGGAAAAAAATTTTAGCACGTTCTACTTCCCCAGTAGATGTATAATTACTTAGTTATAAATTAAATACACATACCACTGTACTTATATAGTATGTACATTTTATAACATAAAGAAAAATATAAATTAAAAAAGAATGAGATGAACATTTTAAAAATTTTATTAATTAATGGTACAAACCCCATTTTTGATCTTACTAAAAAAAGTATATTAATAATATTGTGAGAATAATGTGTTTGAATATTCTTCATTAATTTTCAAAATCTTGGTTTAACACTTTGTGATACAGTGATTCAAGTGTCTGTTTCTAAGCACAGTTTATTTCGATACTTGGTTTTATTGGCCATTATAGCCGAAAAAGGTTCATCTTTAATGATACCAGGTGCAAATTCATACTTCTAATAGTCTTCTGGATAATTGCTGACTTCTTGTTAGATCTGATTGGATCAGCTTTGCTTTTAACCTTGTAACGTGGCTGACTTGTACTAGAAGTGTCAGCTCTGCCATTTTCTTGTTGTTCACCTATGCAGCCATTATTATCATTATATTCATTGCTCAGCTTATTTGCAGGATATTTGTGCATTTGAAGAGGATTAGTTTAGTTAAAACTAGGCAATGTTCCATAAATCCATCGTACTGGGCATACAAAAACTGCAATACACTGCAATATACTGAAAAACGAGTGAATGAGTGAAGGCCCCACTGTGAACCCCTCTGCATTGTGAACACCCACTCTTCCCCCAGGATGCTTCGCCTACTCTACGTGATACAAGACCGTGTTCTGAATGTCATATCCTTACTCTGTGTTTTGCACATATTTGGAGCATGTCTCTAAGCTAACAAATAGATAAAATGAAAGTAAATGTTAACAGCAAATTTGTTATCTGTAAACCAACACTGCATTCACCCGTGCGATTCATCTAAATCAGAAAGGTCAGGGGAACAAATATTTCACTTGACACAAAAGAGTTTCTAGCACTCTATAATCAACCTAAGACCTCTTATTGAATTCAGAAAGCCACTAATATGTTGGACGGCGGGAAGACAGAAGACATCAAAAATCCACCAGTTTCACCATCCTTCAGTTGCAAAGATTTACCTGTCGTATGAAACTCCGACTCGATTCAAAGTTGTTCATCACATCTCACGCTGCAAAGGCAAGAAGAAAAAAACCCACCCTAAAAACTAATTCCTAATCAATGTTTCCTCCTGATCCCAAATGCAATGATCAATTTAATGTGAAATAGTTCTGCAAGATATCTCAGCTAGAGATTTTAAAACTTATGTCTCCTGTCATAACAAGTCATTGGCTGAAGAAGTTGGGCTATAGGAATCTGCAACCAACAAAAGATATTTTTGTTCGTGTCATCAGTGGTATCATGAGGTGGATAAAGGAGACCCATAGAGTAAGAGGAAATGAGAAAAGAACAAGGCCTCTGCATTGTTTTATAAAGCCAATTGGTTTCATTTTTTTATATTTATGTTATAGATACACACATATACAGAATTCTTATACACAGGTTTTCATATACACATACACATTTGCACAGGTTTTCAGCTCGAAATGGATCGTCATCCAGAGGAAACTGGATAGGTCCACATGACACCGAAGGGCAGACTAATACCAAACTTTTTAACGAATTTCTGTCGCATTCTAATCTGATTAGTATTACTGGGATTTATACGCTTACATGAAGATCCATCCAACACTCCTTTAGATAATGTTACAAAAATTCTATACTTATTCTTTAGATAATTGTCATGACATATATCTTACTATTTGACTCTTCTCAGTTGCTCCATCATTTATTTCTTAACAGAACACATTAAAATGTGGATTCCAATGTTCAGTAACTTTTAATAAAATTGGTGCCTTTAAGAATATGAAGGGGGACACTGTTTTCTCACAGTGAATTTTAGGAAGTTGATATTATCTTTAATTTTTTCTACTGCTGTTTCTCTCATCTGAAGGAGTACATGATGAGGAAAACATAAGACCATTTTTAAGTTTTGTGCACAAGTTAAATAATTTCCTTCTGCTTCATTAATTTCTTTCAACAGGTCCTCATTTTCCAGTGCTTCTGACTGGGCTATCATCTTAAGATTAAGCAGCAAAGAACTGAATGTCAGATCTTTGGGACTCAGCAGTGAAAAAGTGAGTCAATATAAGAATTAGGTAACTATCCTTACATCTTGCCTAGTAACAACAGAACTATTGAAAACACCTCTTTTCATTATTTGAAGCTATTGATTTCTACAATCTTCCCTTCGTTCCACTTTTATGCCACAAAATCCTTATACCTCTTATTTCATTAGACAGAGTATTAAATAATATTGAGAATAATCCAGGAATGATGCAAATCTTGAAATCTAAAAACCAATCAATGTGAGATCTCCATTGGTGCTGGACTGCTTGCTTCTGGATACAAGAGTCCGTATTTCAATGGGCATTCTAAGCTGCTTTCTGACACAAACATAACTTCTTGCCTTTTAAATCTGGGCTATTAGGGTAGTTTTACCATATTTTCTTCTTAGGCAATGAAAGATTTCCAACAAAAATTGTTTGAATTCAACAGGAAGTGAAGGCAAAATTAACATGTCTGTTTCTTAGAACGTTGTATAAAAGCTGAACAAATTACTCATGATAGACTATTTATTTGGTTATTTTTAGCATAAAGTAAAACAGAATGAAGTCTTTCTTAAGTCTTTAAGAGAAAAGTTAATAACTGATGATTTTTTTCTTACCATAGATATATCTAGGTATCCAGAGAACATGCAGGCTATTGAATGTACTTTTCTTATTTGTATGACACAAACTTTTATTAGAAAAGTGATGAACTGGGTATACAATATTATATTTAACTGTTCCGAAACCTTAGCTCTGAAACTCCAAACAGTAGTGACATCCCTGCTTGTGGGAATATGCCAAAAAATTTTGATTAATAGTGCCTCTAATAATTAAGAGGATTTACTTATTTGGCAACAATGCCTTAATAAAGACAAGAATGTACAGAGTAGGAAGCACATTAAACTGTACATGTCAACCAAGTGCACAGAGTAAGTACAAGATGAATTTAAAATAAACTGGTGATAAACTAGACTTGCATATAGGAAATTTATACTTTTCCAGCAGTTTCTTTTCCTAAGCTGATAAACAGCATTGTTTTTGTATTGCAGGCCCTTTTTCACCATAATAAACTTGTTGAAAGGAAACTAATTCTACGATAAAGAGATCTAAGCAAAAACGAGGAGCGGTTCCCTGGTTAGAATGATATACTGATGAGTGGAAAACAAGCTAGCTGGGGCAGGGTGCCAGGAAGTGGAGGCACAAATGCACTTGCCTGGAGCCAAGTGTAGCCACTCTGATATCCTGAAAGCATTGTGTAGCTTAACACACTGGGCAGACCTTATGAAGCCTTATACAAAGCCCCAGATTTGTTTGCAGGGTTTTGGGAGGTTTGGGGTGGTTTTTTCAGTTGTGAGGTCATGTAACCCTTGCACTGGAAGTCATTTCAAACAGCCAGGGTTGGGGTTTTTTTTTCTTATTTTCTTTTTTTTTCTCCTTGCTTTTCATTAATTTAAAACTCTCAGGGAAACAATGCTGAGATTTATAGAAGCATTGAGTGAGTGCGTGTGTATGTATATTTTATTTTCAGCTTTTAAATATATATCCATGCAACATATTTCTTTTTTTCCTTTCTCATATAAGGCCAGAATTTTATCACATTGTTTTCTAATAGTAAAAGATAACCAAGAATGTCTACTGAAAGGCAGGGTAAAATAAAGACCAAGAAGTTTAGACACAGAAACAGTAGATGGCATCAGTAGGAAAGAAAATGTTTAGTCTGCTGCTGACATAACTTACATTATTTTTCCTTTTTTTTTTTTCTTTAGCTTTCCAGCAAAAAAACCAAAAGAGCACAAGAAACAATTTTGAACTGATTTATAATTGGGCTAAGATCTAGGTGTTCAGATACAAATCAAATCCCGCCATCAGCTTTGTTTAAGAGAAGCAAAGAATGAAGACCAGAGGCTTCCAGCAATTCTAGACTGCCATGGATCTTATTCTAGAACTGGAGGTTTTGCTCCCATTTTCAGTTTCATATGGCTTTTACTCCCTCCTAATACTGATTCTTCAAAGAGGCTCTTGTTCTGTGGTATCTTGAGTCTGACTTCTGCCTGCCTTGATCCGGTAAATTTATTCTGTAAATTCTGAGGACTGTTATCTCTGGCTCCTCAGCCCTAATGTGCTTTACGTTGTGACTTCCACAGATCTCAATGCAACCTCAACATTCGCACACTGACAGTAATTTTAGGATGCAAAGAGCCTCTACAACACTTGAGAGTACGACATATGCGGTCAGAGTTATCTTTTGCTTCCCATGCATGTGATCCCCTTGGATTGGTTAATGTCAGGGGTATAACTCCAGTTTGAGGTAATTTGACCATTACTGGTTGACCAGGATGCAATGGTACAGGGGTTTCGTCAATTTTATGTGGTGCCTTGGAGATCATTTCTCTAGTAGGATAAAACGCATTTATTTTCGCATTTCCATTTTCACCCCATCTGTTATTAACAGTATGTACTGCTTCAGATGGTCTCAGGTTCCAATTTGATTCATGGACCTTTGCAAATCTTTTAATTAATCCATTGGTCCGTTCTACCATTCCATTTGCCTGGGGGTAGTAAGGGGTATGGAAGACCTAGTCAATACCTTCCCCTTTTGCCCATTCCTGAACGATGACTGCTGTGAAGTGTGAGCCATTATCACTTTGGATGGCAGAAGGCACAGGTAAAGTACTAAACCATTCTGTTAGCACTTGAACAGTCCATTCTCCAGATGCTGCTGTGGTTGCAGTGGCTTGGGTCAATCCTGATACCACCTCTACACCTACTAGGACAAATGAAGTCAGTGTGTCCCAAACCTTACTGGACGCTTCTCTGACTGCTTCTTCATTGTCTCCACCTATTAAGATGTCATCAATGTATTGGTACGTGCTTACCCCATCTGGTACTTTTATCTCCTTCAATATTTTTGCTAAAGCATTATGGGCAATAGTGGGAGAGTGTTTGTATCCCTGTGGGAGCCGGTTAAAGGTATATTGCACTCCCTCCCACGTGAATGCAAATTGAGGTTTATCTTCCTCATGAAGAGGAATCATAAAAAACATGTCCTTCACATCTAATGTGCACATCCAGGTGTGGTGGTTAGCTTGAATCTGGGTAACCAGGCCGGCGATGCTGGGCACAGCGGCCGAGAGGGACATGGCATCGCTATTAAGCCTCCTGTATCCACTGCGAGTCACCATCTACCCTCCGCTTTACGTACTGGCCACACTGGGGAGTTACAAGGTGAGTGTGTCCTGATCATAATGCCACGGTCTTCCAGGTCCTTAATGACTTCCTTGATCCCCCTTTTGGCTGCGGCTGGCAGTGGATATTGATTAACATTCATTACCTGGGAAGGAGGCAGTCTAGTGGCTGTCTCCAGTAACCACACCTCACATGGTGGGGCTCCAAAGCTCCACACTGTCCCGTCTGGCAATCTCCAGACTTTGTTTGCTAATACATCAAATCCCAAAATGTTATTGCGATAAGGACCGATGACTACTTTTATCTTAGTCATTTGGTTTTCTCCTGGTAGCCAGACACACACTGTACCAACTGGTCTGATTTCAGGGACTCCAGTCACTCCTATTACATTTATTTTCTTCCGGGTGGGAACTAAACCTGACTTTTTTGCTGTTTTTTCAGTGATGACACTTATTTGAGCTCCAGTATCAATTAGAAAATTTACAGGTATTCGTCTGGGACCAGTGGCTAAATTGCCTTTCTCCACAATTCATTATGCTGGGGGTCAAAACGAGAACTAGTTTGTCAGGGAGGACAAGGATTATTATGCCCGACAAACCGTGCCTGGTGGACACAGCGCTGTAAATTCGAACCTTCCTCTAACCAGCCCAAACCAAAAACCACTATTCCTTGTAATAGTTGTCCCCAAGTTAAAACGGGCTGCTGCCGCTGGAGCGGGTTGCGAGTATTATGGCCAATTGCCTGTGGAATCTTTTCCTTTAAGTTTTGCCCATACATTTTCACAGAATCAGGGAGACCTCTAATCAATGGTTTAAGGTAGGCTGGATCTACCGGAGTGGCAAGAGGAATGCTCTGCTCACCACGCTCATACATGGCTTGTATACAGGCAGCCTTTTGTATGGATTCAGCTACCCCAGACAGCCCAGTAGTCTTAATAGCCAGTGGCTCGCCCCGCTCTCTAGGATCAATTCCCCCGGCCCAGTGGGTGACTCTAAGGGTTAAGGGTTGATCCCCTGCTGGACCTCTGTCCAGAAATACGCCAGGACCCCAATAACCTCTAGCTTCCTCCTCACTCAGCAAGATACGATCTCCTCCTTTTAGCAAAACGTGCCATAAATATTCAGTTGCACTTTCCCCTGGCTTGCGTGAAAGTTGTCCTTGCATTCGGGCAAGCTCAGGTCCTGACCACGGGGTGATATGTGTTGTAGTACATCTCTGATTATTTCTGTCATTTGACTGCACCTCCGTTTTAATGAGGGGTCGAATTTCAATATCACTTGTTCCCTCGGGTCAGGATCGGCACACATGATTAAGTTCCTGACTTGGGTGGGAGAGGGGGTCGGAGCACTTGACAACAAAAGATCTAATTTTTCCTGTAACCTCCGATTCCTCTCCCTTTCAGCAGCTAATTCGTCTTTTAAAAACATGTTTTCAACTTCCAGTTGTCCTTCATGGGCCCTTAAGGCCTCTTTTGTCTTTCGTTCTTCCTCTAAAGCAGCTTTGGTAGCCTTAACTTCAGTTTGCAATTCACAGAGCTTTTTACTACAATCAGTCGGTGCATCTGCTACCGAGTTAGGGACACCCACTTTTTTAACAGTCTCAAATTTCCGTGCCTCCTCCTATGCACAGGCTAAACATGCTCCAAAAACCGTACACAGAACACCTTTGCCTTTTCCATCTTTTTTCTTTTGTTCCTTCTTACACCGCTCTACCCATTCCACCACTTTCTCTGTACTTCTCCACAACCTCTTAGCACTCTCCCTATCCAAGGAGGAGGGTTTACAACCATGTTTCTGCAATAGATCGTCCATCATACACCCTGCTCCCTGCACCAATTTTTGTGACGAAATGGGAAATGGACTTCACTGAGAGGTTCAAAATAGCAATTTATTTGGACTTCACTCACAGGTCCAATACGTCACTATTACAGGTTCTATGTGTGCAAGGCGATTACACTATTGCAATTTAAAAACAATTCGTGGAATACACCATTGCAGCCTACAAATGATCCCGACAAGTAACAACACAAACCACAAGCGCGCTAGATATGAATACCTTAAAAGAGTGCTCTAATCACAATCCTAATAGCAGGCCATATACCATACGTATGTTTCTTAGTCACATACCCTCTCTCTCAGGTAAGGTCTCTCAATCCGTGGGAAGTTACTTCGGGGCGGAGGGGGGGGGTGTCGTA